CCTATGTCCAAATGCTATTAGAGTTTACTGGAGTTAAAGAAACTGAGGTTTAAACAGAGTTAACTACTTCAGTGCCCCATCACTAGATAAAAGCAGAACTAATGTTTAACCTATGTCTCTTTGACAAAACCCTTCAGCTCTTTCTACTTATTTTAATGATTTCCAGGATGGTACTTTACAGAAGATGAACACTTAAATATTTATTGAGTGAGTGAGTGTCCTAAAAGATATTTAGAATCTTGACAAGCACATATATATTCTAAATATCTTTCTATGTGAAGAAAAAAAAGATGATCAAAAACAGAGAAATAGGGTTTTGTGCAGGCTTTGGTTTGACAACAAACCTTTCATTTTAGCTTAAGTATAGAACAGAGGTAGAATGTCATGAAAAAAATAAAGTTGGCATGATGCCTAGTTTAAAAAACTGATTTTAATAGTAGGTAAGAATATTTATATAATATAAAATGTTCATATCATAAAGAAAAAATAGATAGAGATTTGAAGGAGGGTTCAATGGACAATGATATGACTATAACTACTTTATTGTAATTAATGGATCCCTGGGATAGGTGACTAAGCAGGAAGTGATACAAAGAAGTTCATTTTTGAATCAGTTCAGGAATGTAGGCCTTGAAGGACTAATGGAAGATGTAGCTATTGGGATTGCAGCAAGTACAGCAGACCTTGCAGTATGTAAATTCATAATGGTTGGAATCTGACTATTTAGAATGATATCACAAAATAGGCATTTCAAATCTCAAATCTGAGAATAGAATAGAAAGGTCTACTAGTAACACTTGAAAATTTTCTAGTTCTAGACAATAGGCAAAATAAATAATGATAATCTTAAAACTTATTCACCATTTATTAAATGTTTACTGAATAACAAATATTACTAAACTCTTTCATAGAATTATTTCATGTCCCAAAATAGCTGTATGTGATTACATATAACTTAACCTTGCTAAACATGCAAGGAGGATTTAGCTTTCAAAAATTAAATAACTCACTATAGTTTCCATAGATAAGCTATGGGACACCAAAGAGTTATATGATTTGTCTGACACGCTAATACTTCTCACACAGACAATGCAATGTGGGAAATGTACAACAGGGGAATACACTTGAATTTTAAATTATGTGGCTAAGAGAAACAAGTGATTCAAGAATATTCTTTTTTTCAAATAAAAATTTTGTGCATGTGCATAGATGTGTATGTTCATGCATGAGTGGATACATGTGTACACAGGTGTATGTGTGTGTGTGTGTGTGTGTGTGTGTGTGCATTTACCAGTTTTCCTGTGGAAGGCAAAGGGAAACTAGGTTCCTTAGGTGTTATCGACACATTTTAAATATATATGTATATGTATATGTATATGTATGTATGTGTGTGTGTCTGCATATATGTATATGTGCCATATGCATGCAGAAACCTCCAAAGGGAAGAAAGCATCAGTTTCCCTGGAAATGGTATTAGGGGCAGTTGTAAGCCACTATGTGGGTGCTGGTATCTGAACACAGTATCTCTGCAAGAGCTGTAAGCATTCTTAACCTCTCCACCTTTGTGGAAGATGCTGTCTCTTGCTATTCTGAAACTCACCAGGTAGGCTAGCCTGGCTCACCAGTAAGCCCCAGGGACCCACCTCTCTCTGTCCAGAGGACTGGAATTACAACTCTTATACAACTATGCCTCGCTCTTTGTATGATTCTAGGGCTCAAATTTGGTCCTCCTGCTGGGATGGCAATCACTTTCTCAACTGATCTATCCAGTACAATTTTACAGAGTTTTCTTAACATATTGTTGTTGCTCTGGAAATGTAGCTAACATGGTGGTTGAGTGATTGACTAGCACATACAAGGCATGGTTCAGTGCTCAGCATCAAAAACAAAACACTATAGCTCAAGTCACAAAAAAGAACAAGATACCAGGCAATAGATGATAAAGGTACCAGAACATAGATGATAAAGAGAAAATCTTCTCAGATAAGCATTGCTTATAATTTTGTGTTATATGTTGAAGTTTATGATGACATTTTCAAGTATCTTGGGCTATGGTCTAGTGTAATTCTAATATTTAAATTTTTAAAAGTATGATTAGTCTAATCTTATGACTAGATGGAAACATACTATAGTACAAAAGTGACTATAGATGTGGAGATGATGAATGGGGACTTAGTCTATCATTGCTGTTTTAAGACATTTCAAATTATTGTTTTGAGATTATAACATAATCACATTATTTCCACTTCTCATTTCCCTCTCCAAGATTTACGATGTTCCCTTTTGCACACACACACACCACCACCACCACCACAAATAACAACAACACATCAACAACAAAAATTAGATATTTTCAAAAATGTTATCAAATAAGAATTATTATTTTTAGGGTTTTGTGGTGCTGAGGAAACATTCTATTTTGAAAGAACTCATTCATTGTTGCTCTTCTCAACGGAATGAGGATAAACCCACTTATGCAGAAATTTATCATCAAAGTCATTAAAAGGGCAGTTGCTGCCTAAGGACAAGCAGTGCATACACAGATCTTCAAATACTCTACGTAGCTAAAGAGAAAAATAAGTGAAGCATAGAACTTAGGTTCTTTGATATACAATGTCAGTTAAAGAGGGTGCAGTTGCTTTGGCATAAACACTTTGAAACTCTTATTTTGCTTTTGGGATTTTTTTTCCATTTGTCATTTAAAGTTTAAATAATCATACTTTTTCAAAACAATTGTTATCAATCTTATCACTAGATGGCAGTATGATTCTTCGAATAAAGAGAGAATGACAGCTTGACAAGTACAAGCAAGATTAAAAATAAATTAATGACAAAGCAATTACTGAAAGAGAAATAACACAAAGAACTCCACTTTCTCCTGTTAGCCAGTCTGAAGCAAACTTTTGTACATTTGAACCTGCTTAATTTGCTTTTATGACTTTACTTTATAAGCTAGTTGTAGAAGTGAGTCTTTCTCTTTTTTAAAAGAACCTTTTTCCCTTTGATAAGATTTTTCTGCAGTACCTAACAGACAATACATAGCTTGACTATTACTTAGTAAACATATGCAAAAATGATAAATCTAGATGAAGATAGGAATGTGTGTGTATGTGGGGATAATGGGTTTACAGAAAGAAAAATAGCATGCATAGCTGAGATGGCTGTTGTTTATTATGTTTAATAAGTTTTAAAATAAGTTTTTACATAAATCACATATAAGCAAGGAAATTATTTGGAATTTTAGATGACGTTAAGAATCATCAAATGGTTTTTATTTACGCACTCATTTATGCATTTATTTTACTGGAAAAAACGTTCTTCTCAGAGAAACTATTAACTAGAAACCTAAAGTATAAGATACATAAAATCAGAGCAGTTGAAAGTGAAGGGTAGTTGGGATTTGAAGAGTGGGAACTGGGCATCTGGGGCCCAGAAGCTGAAAAGGTTTATTTATGTTCTCTTTCTGCATATGCTGTGCAAAGATTTGGTGAAAGTAGTATGGACATGTCAAAAATGCTGTAATGTGTTTACTTTAAAACTGTCAACCTTAGGGCTAGGGATTATTTGATAAAGTCCCTGCCGTACAAGCATAAGGACCTGATCTCTGAACCCTGATACTTCTACAAAAAACCAGGTGTGGTTGAACACTTCCTATAACCATATAGATAACAAGCAGTACTTGGCCGATTACTAGAGCAGTGTAGGCAATCAATTAGCTCAGGATTCAATGAGAATCATAGACATTGTTTCTAAACATAAGGAAGAAAGCCACAGTGGAAAACACCTGACATCAAGCTCTATTTTTACACACACACACACACACACACACACACATACAGAGAGAGAGAGAGAGAGAGAGAGAGAGAGAGAGAGAGAGAGAGAGAGAGAGAGAGAGACTTGTTTAATCCAATAATTCAGGACAAAAAAAAATATGTAAGCCCTATTGAAAGTGTTCCCTGCAATCCCTGTGCCAAAAGTATAACCTTCCTCAGCCAAGGTGCCATATGATTTCTATTATAAAACTGTCGTCTTTGATGCTAGATATTCTTGATGGAATGAGTGTATTAACACCATTCTTAATAGGATTATTAAATTTTCTTAATTTTACATGTTATTTATAATGAAATTTCAATTAGAAAAAAGAAAATTTACAATGGATCACATAGAAATACAAGGATATATAGAACATTTGAAATAATTTTAGCTGATATTTCTCCTAAAATATTAACAAACATGCTAGGAAAAAAGAATATTGAATTGAAAAGTAAGAAAAAATGCCAGAGGCAGAATACAAGAGGAAAAGAACAAGGACTTTTGACTCGTATTGATTTGGTTCAACAAAATTAACTGTGTTGACCATTGAAGAGTTACTAATGAAGTCTCAGCTAAAAGAATGGCAAAAATACAGAAATATTACTTGGTGCACTGGGTTGTCTGAAGGATTATACTGTAAAATGTATACAAACACATTGGAGAAAGACAATCTCTGCAACAGTGCTAGGCAAACTGGATGTTCACACAGAAGAATGAAACTAGATCTCCATTTCACATCCTGTACAAAAAACTATTTAAAATAGATCAAAGACCTTGATGTAAAACCTAAAACTTAAACTCTAAAACTGCCACAGGAAATTATAAGAAAAACACTTCAAAATACACACATAGGTGAGGATGTTCTGAAAAGGATTCCAAAAGTTGAGTAAATAACAGCTGCAACAACGGCCAGATGGGACTGCACAGCAAAGAATAGAGTAAGAGACAAGTAAGAGAATAAGAGAAAAATCTTGCAGACTTCATATTTAAAGGATTGATTTAGAATATATAAAGAGCTAAATATAAAAAGAATATAAAATTAACCATCCCAAATAATTCAGTCACCCTCTGGAGAACTGAAAGGACCAGACAGTTCTCAAAAGATGAGGTGCAAATGACCAATACACATGTGAAAAAAAGTGTTAATGTCCTTAGCCATGAGGGAAAAGGACATCAATGTGACACATTTGATTAAGAAAGAGAGTGTCTAGAGTAATGGATGTTGCATTTGCCCATGGAAAGTATGTGCGTGCCAATAAGAGAGTGGATTTGCAAATATATGAGCACTCATTCCCCTTGTCCCTTGTTCTTCTTTGATGGAGACATGATACCTGATCCCTAGAGCTAGTTTGGCAGCCAGAAATGAAAAGCTCTGAAGGCACCTTCTTAGTGAGTTGTACAGAAAGAATATTTAGTCAAAGGTAGTGTCAGACATCTCAAAGTCTCAGAGTTAGTTCTCACCCTCGTTCTCTCCACCGTACTCCCAGTACTCAGAAGTGAGGAATTGATGAGATAGAAGAGACTGAGTATATCCTAGACAGTGCTTATGGAAGTGATTCTGATCTGAAATAAACAAAGTAACAAAACTACAATTATAATCCATTTCACTCAGATCATTTTCTTGATATTCAAGATAAACAACAATAACTCCCTGTGGAGGATATGGAGAAAGTAACCATTTATATTACTGATAGAAAAGCAATTTAGTGGGGCCACTAAATACAACAGTATGGAGATAATCCAGAAAACACTTAACAAAACAGAACTACTTGCTATATAATTTCTAGGTCATGTCAGTATACTAAAGAGCTATCTACACATTATTGTTGTAGAACCATAATTGGCAAGAACTGACAGATGGATAAAGAAGGATACTCACATATAAATAAGTGCATTTTAAAACTCTTAAGATATTTTTAGCTCAGGGTTTTATTTTTTTCTTTGCAATCTAGGATCTCTTTGCTATAATTATGAGAGTTAAATATGAGAAAAAGCTGGCTATGTTGGCAATCACTGTGACTTCTTAGATACAGTGATGATAACTAATCTACATTGGCTTACAATTGCATTTTACAGGTCTGGCAAGATGGCTCAGTGGGTAAATGTCTTTGACCTCAAAGTAATTCACACAAGTTTTATGTCAATAGTCCACAGAGAGGGGGACGGTGAGAAGTAACCCCATAAGGCTATACTCTGACCTTCGCATGTGCAACTTATCATGCATCCCCACTTACAAGATGATATAGACAGAGAATCATACTTTTTAAAAAATGCAGTTTTCATTGTAGTTGCTGACATGAAACCAAAGTACAGGAGCAGAGAGAGGCCAGGTAGCTTTTACTCCTCTCTTGCTGTAAAACTGAAGTTAAGAAAGAGCTGTGATCTCTCTGTGGACAGAACTCCTCTTGTTCCTTTCTCAAAATCAGAGATCTCAATAGTGACATTAACACTGCTTTTTTCCCCTGGCTTTTTTGTAAGGGTGAGAATGGCTCTGGGTTGGTTCATCACAATTTCTAATGAGTTTCTTAATTCTTTCTCATGTGATATAAATAGATCTTCCATTAAATTCTCTACAACTGTTCTGAAAAGGCTGTTTTCTTCAGTGAGCATAATTAAGGAATTTCTATCTCTTATTCCATACTCATATACATACCCTCTTCCTTCCACTGTTTATCAGTTATTTAACAGTGTATATACAGAAAAGTTAGCATTATATTTTTGTGAAAACTTAAAAATTACCCAAGTAAACTGACTTTAATCATAAGAACTGTTAATTCAGTCAATGGGAACAAGTAGAACAGCACAGAGATCATTACCATAAGAAGCAGGTATAACCTTAGGCTAAAGTAACAAGGCTAGTGTGATTTCACTAACCTCCAGAATACACTATTACTTGGAAAGTGCTGGAACCAGGATAGAAACATTTTTAATTGTTACTGCCACAGAGAAGATTCAGCAGTTGCCAGAAAATCCAGCTGAACTACAGAGGAGTGCAAACTTGGGTTTGGTCTCCCGTCCCTTCTTCATTAGACATCATTCACTAGCAAAGTTATTTGAGAGAAAGAATAAGAAATGACAAAGATAATTTTCTAGGATTACCCTTCTTAGGCATGGAAAATTAACTAACATATTCAGATATTTTAATGTAAGTGAACAAATCATGGTGTAATATCAATTAAATATACTTCAAGCTTGTTTTTCTGGAAAATTTAATATTAAATTTAAGGGAATGCTATAGTGGATAAAGAATGTCCACCAAAGCTCTTTATATTTAAAGTTTTCATCCTGGATTAGGCTCTTGCAAGGTGATGTATATGCTTTAGAGGTATGACCTAGATGATACAGTGTGCAGTATTTATAGGCTTGGTGACTCTAGAGGTTCTAGTATATTGATAGCCTCCACAAATGAAGCCATTCTAGGATCAATAGTCAGATGTTTAGAGTGGATGAGAATAAATGTGAAGAAGCAGAGTCTCAATGGGACATGTGTGCACACATCTTAATCCTAGTTCCGGAGAGTACAAAACGGAGGCAGATCTCTGTCAGTTTAAAGCCAGCAGTGAGACGATACCTGTCCTACCACTCAACACCACAAAAGAAAACATAAAAACTTATTGAAAGTCCTCATATCATTCACTGTCTTCTTCTCTAAATGAGGCTATTAGACTCTAATCTACTTTGCTTTTCTTCATTTTTGATAAGAGTGTTTGCTTTGAGATGTAGTCCTGCTAAAATGCACTACCTCATCAAAGGTATAAAACAATTGATCAATTCAGTCATGGGTAGGAATCTTCAAAACTGTGAGACAAAAATTAATAAACCTATATTTACTAGTTAAGTATATAATATATTTCATTATGTTGGAAGTCTGACTGATACGTGATACACTTTGACTGAAAAACTTTAGTGTTAATTTTCTGTCCTAATTATTCTGCCCACTATTCCTGTGGTATTTTCTAATTTCTTGTCATTACAAATTAGTAAGAAGCACTCAAACTCATTAGCTGTAAGTATTTTCTGATTTCTAGATCCTAATATTCTCCTCTCAGTTATGGTAGAACCTGACTTTTCAAGGCTAAGTGCAGTCAATGTGAGTAGTAATATAATACATTAACAACATACCTTTGTCTTGAAGGGAAATACTTCAATGAAGCCAGTAAGGATTCTTACTTTTAAAGTAGATTTACTGCTAGTATTCACAACCTCGAAGCGATACATATCTACAAACTATTGATGAGTAAGTCCATTACTGTATTATATCAACACACTAAAATTTTACTTAGAAAAAAAGAAAATCATATTTATATTTTTAACAAAATGGTATCTTGTAACACTATCCTTATTGAAAGAACATAGACAAAATAGGCATATGTAGGTATGATTAACTTTATATGGAATTCTAAAAAATTCATGATAATATTAAGGCCATAATTTAGAATAATGATTTTATGCAGATAAGGAATTAGAAAGGAAGAAGAGATATACAATACAAAGGACATTATAAAAAATAACTTTAGGGGAAGACGATGAGCTTATTATGTTAAATATGATAGAAGTACTCCAAGCGTACATGTGTCTGCATTTGTGTGTGTGTATGACAAAATGTTTTAAACTATTTCAACTTATACAAGTTAAATATATACTAACAACTGTGTTCCAATCACACACCATCAAAATTATTAAGAAATCTGTTTCACAATAATGTGATTCTCCGCTACTCATGAAATATCAATAAATACTGTATTGATTCAGTCATCTCCTATATCACATATATTTGGAAAATCAGCTCTACCTCATTGGCAATCATAGAAATAAGTCAGTAAAGATCACATCCATGCTGATACTCAGACATAAATAACAAAATACACATGTCTGTACTGCACAATTTCTGATCTTTGTCTAGTTCCCAACTCTAGTTGGGGGTGAAGAATCATCTGTGAAAACATAAACAATACCTATGACACTGACATTAAACCATCAGATAAAAATTACACAAGTACTACCTCTTTTGTACACAAAATTGTCATTATATTTCAGTCTTAAGGAATTTGTTTGCACAACTCTTCAGAGTAGACACATAACCTTATACTAACACTGTCCCCAACCAGGTACTGACCTTTGCACAATAGTTCAGTGTCAAATATACATATACATACACATACACATACACATACACATACACATACACATACACATA